GACATTAATTTGCTTATCAGATGGCCGCGAAGCTATAGCCTTTTGATGACAGATACTTGCGATAACAGGCAACTTAGTTCAAGTCTAACTTTGCTTAAATATTTTATTTAACCACATGAAAATCCGGATTACTCATAGAAGAACCCTCGAAGCACAGTTTGTGCTCAGTGAACTTGATCACGAACTGCTATATATTACCTATCGTTGTAGTTTGTTCACTTCCTTTGAAGACTACTTTCAGGGAGTTTGATGCATAGACGATATTCTGGATATACTCTATATACTTTAATAATGCCTATTAATGAAAAGTAAAAATTATTTATAATTACATGAAATAAGTAGACCATTTCCASGGTCGTAGAAAGCGTAGGAAGCTCAGTCTTTGAATAGTAAGGGGACGGGGATGGGATTGGGGCCCACTTGAAATAATTTAGTTAATGATCTTATCGCCCATCTTTCCCCCAATAAATAATATATCTAATAAAATCCAACTTACCGCTGCTGTAGCAAGGCAGTAGTACCTAAGGAAAGATAAAAGGTTTTGAAAACTAAGCCAAAAGTAGAATTGGCAAGAAAGTTAATTTCATTTACGCTTTCTATTACTTGCTACTTCGTACTTACTTGGTAGAAACCTCCATTTCAACGGTGTTGTATTCTGGAGCACAAAGCTGTCTAATGTATTCAAGACCTGAAAGCAGCAAATGAATAGATAAATGAAACGGATAAAATGGAAAATATGTGAAGCTAGAAAGCTACGAGATAAGGGGAGAGGAAAAGATTGAAATGCGGGAAGGGGTGAGAAAAGCGTTAAGGAAACGAAAAGAGAAGAGAATCAGAAAGGAACTGAGAAACTGAAAAAAAAGCCCAGCATATTGTTGCAAGTTTGCATTCTTCCATAGAAAAAGAAAAAGGAAATACGCAGGAAGTTAATCTAATCCTTATACAGCTATTTTAAAAAAGGTTGGTGAAGGCGTTGCTGCATGCTGCATGTTATACAGTCAATTCAAAAAATGTTGTCGTCGACCAACTCAAGCCTACGCGACTAGACCGAAAGGAACTCTGGGTAGCAATTATTGAAGCCGAGTTATAATGTTATTTGACTAGTTATGCCTGGTTTACAGCACGAACCTTCGTAGGCGAGCGGGAAATGTTGAAGGAGACGTTTTTTTAATGCCTTCATATTTTTGAAATTGTGAACTGAATCATTTTGTTTTTGTTTCCCTATACCCAAAGACAAGCATTTGATGGGTTGTTTATCGCCATTATTGAATATTTAACCGCTTCAGTGACTTTTACCCATATTCCTTTCGGTCCAGTCGCGTAGGCTTGAGCCGGTCGTCGACAACGTTTTTTGAATTGACTGTATATTGCATCTTGCATCTTCGAAGAATCTATTATAGTCGCGTGAAATAATGTTAGCACAGAAGAAATTATGCAGGAAAAACGTGCAGACAAAGTTTGGGAATTTTTCACATTGTTATCACCTTTGGCTGATTGCATTCACATCGCCCATAGTGCACTTTGGACTTGGTATGCTACAAGGCAACATGCAACAAAAAACCTTCACAAACCTTTTTTGAAATAGCTGTGTCACTGATGGTTTTTAAAAAAATAGTAGTAATTAAAACTACAATTCACCTTTTGTTTCGTTAAAGTATTTCCTTTGTACAGTAGCCAAGTTGGTGTATAAAAATTGTTCACTGAGGAGCTTGAACAACTTTGACATGTTGCCATTCTCACATGCTGTGTTAGGCATTATTATCTACATGTGAAGCACATTAAATAACCTTAGCAACATGATGTTGACTATATAGAGCTGTTCAGCTGTCACGGACATACTTCCGGGTTCAACTGCTCACAAAAACCGCTAAAATAACGCGGAAAATGTTCTCAATGATTTAACTTCCACCTATAAGGATTAGAACTTCGGACAACAAATCCTGTCACGGAGAAAAATCAAGAAAATAGTTATAGAACTGCTTTTTGTTTTGGAGCCAAAAGTCGTTTTTTCAAGTGACGTGACACTTAAATGCCCTATTAGTAGAGAAGGCAGAAAAGCGCTTTGTAAAAAGTATATTTACAGCTATTTTTTAACAAAAGGTCGGTGAAGGTTTTGTTTTGCTTTGCTGCATGGATAAGTTTAGTTGAATACTACCTAATATGCATTGTGGATCATATATAAATAATGTCAATAATGCAACAGAACCTTCATCAACCTATTTTTAAAAAGCTGTATTAAAACCATAAAGTATCAAAAGCTTAACACATACCTCAATAGGCTGTAAAATCTGTAACCTCGTTAGGACTTTGACATAGGTTTGGCTATCTGAAAACTTGGAAGGGAGGGAGAAAGGTAAGAATTGGGAAAAAAAAGTAAGTAGGCGGGTAGGCGGGTAGGCGGGTAGGCGGGTAGGCGGGTAGGCGGGNGGTAGGCGGGTAGGCGGGTAGGCGGGTAGGCAGGTAGGATGGAAATAAAAGAAAATATCGAATTATGCAAATAAAAAATAATTTATAAACCGTTTTATCTGACCGATTTTACCTGAGATAGAGTGAGTTCTGGCTTTTTTAGATCAATACTGGATATTCCGATCTCTCCGCGTGCAAGCCCTCGTCCTTCAACGATGGCTAAACAAAAGTTTCAAGAAGGAAATAATGGACGAGTATCATTTTTATAAAAATCAGTGAGATTGAATAAGTAGTAATGAAACTAAGTAAAGATATTTGTTCATTCAATTTTGCTTTGAGGTTTCCCATTTTCATTAGGGATTATTTATAGGGTCAATATCCTATTTATCCTACTTCCTTCTCATGAGAACAATGAGACTCTTACCTCAATCCCGAAGCCTTTGAACAAGAGATTGACCCTGTTAGCCACACTTAATTTTAGTTGATTTTTTATATCCATTTCGTTGTCTACTTACCAACGATAACTGATGATGGCAATATACCAGGTGTAGTACTGGTTGCCACTTGTGGTGTACGTCTAGAACTGGGCGTGCGACTTGATAAGCTTGTACTGCCTGGAGTCTTTGTACCAGATCCCGGGCCACAAGATCTGTATGTGTTATAAACGTAATTGTATCATCACTCCATAATCTCATATAAGCAACTATCGTATTTTTTTCAAATTCTCTTTCCATTCGCATTCTTTAGAGTGACTTATGAATTCAAAAAATTCCTCTGACTGCCAAMTTGGTCTAGGCTTGTCGGCCTCTTCCAATTTTGTCAGTCCTCGGAATTTTTCCCTGCCACTTTTTCCAAATTGGAAGGCATGTAGTCCTATTAACTATACTAAAAGGATATACTGGTGTAATTTGTAGTGGGTGGAGCCCATTGAACTGCACTGCACACTTTTCAAAAATTTATTCATAAATAGTTTTAAAATCCTACGGTTCAACTTCATTCATAGTGTTATATGATAATTATTTATTTATTTATTTGTAATAAATTTAAAACGTGGACCAAGCGTAGAGAAGGGGAGAGGAAAAAAGGTAGGTGGTAGAGTTTTTGTACTCCAACTGATAGACATTTTTAAAAGACAAATACGAAAAAAATAAACAAAAACAAAAACAAAAACAGAAACAAAAAAAAAAAACAAAGATAAATATCACTAAATAAGTTTATATCCATACAAATTCCATCGAGAGGTGATTTCGTAAAAAAATTTAAGTTAGCTAAAAACTTAAATTTCAGTTAAGATAATACAATGTTGAGAAACGTTTTAGACTTGAACAAACTCAGTAAACTATAACAAGAACATCAGATTTGAAACCCAAATTTCTTTCGAAAGACATTCAAAGTCTTACCTTGAGCTTGAAGATGAAAGTAAGCGACTTGATGAAGAAGCTAAAATCGGTCTTTCTTGATAAGCTGGTCCGAACCCTGATATGTAAGAACTACAAGATGACTTCTGAGGTAGACTTGTACTCGACCATGTCGTATCTAAATCAACATCTGGAAAATATGAAGAATGAAAAATATAATGAAAATGTATAACGAGTCTTAACTTTGATTCTCTTCGTGAAATCTGTTGATAAAATAAAATCTTACAACCTAAAAAAGACCGCTTTTGATCTCTCTACCCTCATTTCTCATCAAAGCTCTAAAAACTAATATAGTTAATCATTAATTCTATCGTAATTCTATTCATTTATCCTGATTTACCTATACGATAGTCGTTTTTCAACTTAAACTTACTGTATTTTGGTTGTCTCGCTGTTGAAGTAAACATTGACATCCTGCTGGCTTTAAAAACTGGTTTTGCAGTTTTTTGAAGAAAAAGTATGCCTTCCACAGTAATTACTCAGTTTGACAATCCCATTGTTGGATAAGTTTGGAAGAAAAACTAATTTACAGCAAAGAAAAAGCACACTTTTACAGTAAATCTTGGGTAAAACTGCTTCAAATTACCTGGTACAGTTTCCTGCACATTTGATTTTCTCAAGCTCAAGTTCATTGAAGGGCGTGACGCGCGCGCTCACATTTTCCCGCCATTTTTCTAAAACGATCTTATGACGCCAAAAACTTAAAGGTAATGTCACGTGACCTGTATTTTGCTGTCAGTTTTGCCGTCACTCGATTTTCACTGGGTCCTTCAGTGAACTGAGGGTGGATCCAGGGGGGGGGGAGCAAAGGGGTGCTGAAGCCCCCCTTCAGCTAAAAAAAGAACAAAACTGAAGAATTAGATGTTTTTTTATTGTTTTCCATTTTGTTGACGGAAGAAACTCAATTAGCTCCCCCTTTGGCTGGATCCGCCCTTGCCGAGTTCTCAATATTATTCACAAATCTTAGAATTCGTTGTATGAATGAATGACTAAATACTTCCTCATCTTCTGTGAACAACCCACAATAGCCATTTTCGTCATCCCCGAGGCCAGTCAGTAGTATTAAAAATATTCAAAAATTTCACAGTAAAAATACTATGAGCAAGGGTAGRGAAGGAGAGCAAAAAAGTGGCTATAGTTTGATAGAGGTATGTAYAAAAAGCACACAAACTAGGCTTAGCTAAAGACAAAAACGTTTATTGGAATCTGGCCTTAAATTAAGTTCAGAAAATACACACCATCTTACACACCACTGAGAACGATTATGAACGTCATAAAAGCGACTGATAGTAAAAGTACTAAACATTTCATTAAGATATTATTTCTGTGTCCATGGTCTCAGGTTCTTGTTCAATTGTTTCTGACTCTTCGTGGAACATAAACTGTTGTTGGTATTCCTTAAGGAACTGTGTGGAGCGAGACTCGTCAAAGAAGAGCGAATAGGCACGTTTGATGTCATCCATTTGCACTTCTTGGCCCTACAAATAGATATGACAGCAATGAACATTAAAAATTTGCAAAAATTGTCTATTGTAACTGACTACGCCACTATTGACAAACTACAGGGCATTAGCAGAGTTGAAAAATTATATATATTCAAATAACACATACACAAATACCATTAGAACTGGAAGGATAAATTTTAAGAAAATGAGATTTGGTTATAAAGAAAGGCTAAACGGAGGATTTGCCGGAGAAAAGACAATGGGGTTTGTAGAGTCAGTCTGTGATTCCCATTTAACATTGGACATAAAAACTCGATGTATTTAGGTGGGATGGCCCCCACATCAAGAAATGAGGTCTGAAAACTGAAGAAGAAAAAAAACACTTAAATTTCATAGCTTTGTCAAGTGGGGCTGCCTTACCTTTCGTTTCCTGCAGATCAGATTTGCAACAGTTATAAGGTGAATGGAATATCTTAGTGAAGTTTCTTGGGCAATTTTCGTTAATACCATCATTGCATCTTCAGACATTTCAACATCCTCTTCTTCGCAACTAACGAAAATGGAAACAAAACCATAAAGCTACATGTTTTTTTTTTGTCTCGGCCACTTCCATGACTAATTTTCTAGGGTTTTTATTTTTTGCCATTGACTAGATTTTAATTTCGTTTGTGTGTGTGTGTGTTTTTATTTTTTATATTTTTTTGCATTGACTAGAACTTCATCAGGTACTTTGTAGTTTTACTGGATGAGAACACAACCATTTCCCTTCTTGAGTTTTAAAATCATGTGAGTTGAGTGTTGTAAGCATCGTAAAGTAATGAATAAAATACAGTAACTGGGATTTGTCTGTAGTACATGGTTACTAATCATATCTTACAATGTTGAACGCCACATCACATCATATATACTAACCGAATAGAGAGAATTTGTCTCAGCTCTTTTTCTTCATATGGAGTGGTAGAAATGATGAGTAATCTGTCCAGTAAGTCAAGTGGTATTCCATGTGGGCTCTTGTAATTTGTGCCACGTATTCTAGTTAATGTAAACAATAAGAAATTATTTTGCTAGCAAACTTGGACGAGACTGGTGAGATTCTTTCCCCCTTTCTTACTCCTCCCCCTCGCACAGAGTTTTCATCATCCCAGAGGGTTTTCATTAAGGGTTGGAGATTGGAAAACGTTCGGGTAACTGAAAAAAATTTTGTTATTTCAAAACTAAATAAATACTCTGCCAGGACTCTTTTAAAGTGCCTATCACCCTTCTGACAATATTCTCAGTATTGATTCTACATGGTACTCTGCCAGGACTCTTTTAAAGTGCCTATCACCCTTCTGACAATATTCTCAGTATTGATTCTACATGGACAATGACGTATTTCAAATTTAATTTATCTGTACCAGTAGTGTTTTGTATATTAAATGATTACTCCTCATACGTCACAGCATTAGCATATGACATGGAAAAACCTTCATAACTTCAAGAAGCCGGACTCAAATTATGTAATTTTTTCGGGTTATTCAACATCTTACCCCATGTAGAATCAATACTGAGAATATTGTCAGAAGGGTGATAGGCACTTTAAGCTAGTTCTTGATCTTCTCCTATTATTCCAAAACTTAATGAAAACTCTGTCTCTCCATAAAATGGTGTGTTACAGTAGGTTGCCCGAACAACAACTGAATTTTGTAAGTAAAAATTCTATTGTTTGGTCCAAGAAAAGAAAAAAAAAAATGCAATTCAGGAATTAAAAATGAGAGGACTTCTCAAAAGGTTTGGCTAATCATTGCTTCTTTATATTATAAACCTTTTTGCATAATATATCTATTCTTTGATTGTAGGGTACGTCAGGTCATTGCGGCCTCTCTGGGGAGCATTGGTACCATTTAACAAAGAATTCCTCATTTTTTCCACAAAAATGGCCGCCATGTTTTTGTCTTTTGACTCTCTTGGGAATGCTTGCAACCCATCAATTCACTCCCTCCCCTCCCCCCAAAGTGTGGATATAGATTTTTCGGATGCTTACTTGGTTATTCCTCTGTTGGTAGCCATGATAAGAACAGGAGCCATATCACTCTCAAGAGCACGATTAAGGAAAGAGAAGGATTCAATATCCAGCATATGGACCTCATCAACGAACAGGACCTGTCAAATGGCAATTATAACAAATTTTCATTTTTATAACTATATATAACTACATTATTACACTTATAAGAATAATGATTAATTAACTTTATTTAGGGCTGGTTCACACTTCAACATAAGCATAAACATAATTATAAGAAACATAGTACTATTGTGATTCTCATGCTTATGCTTATGTACGCCCGGTTCACGCTCTGGATTTCAAGAGCATAAACATAAGCATAGGAAAATGGAAAGGTTTCCATTCCTTATGCTTATGCTTTGTGCAAGCCCGGTTCACACGCTTCTTCACGCTTCTTCTCACACGGTTTCTTACGCTTATGTTTATGGAACTTATGCTTATGTTAAAGAGTGAACCAGCCCTAAAGATTCTCTTGCATGCAGGCATGTAGTTCAATATACAGCTTTTTCAAAAAGGGTTAGTAAAGGTTTTATTGCAGGTTGCATGTTGCTTACTAATCCTGAAATGTATTATATTTATAAATTCGTAAACAATGTCAGCACAGAAGACAAAGTTTAGAAAAAATTCATATTGTTGTGACCTTTAGTCGATTGAATTCACATCACTCATAGTGCAACATGAAACAAAACCTTCACCAACCTTTTTTGAAATAGCTGTAAAGCTGATTTACAGACAGCCACTTCATACAGACATCCTGACCGTTAGGTATCATGCAGTCAACTATAGACATTAAGGAAATACCGAAAAGATAAAACCCCAGCTTACCCCTGGTACAATGTCTGCCTTCCCTTCTTCTCTCCATTCAGCTACTTTAGCATTGATTTGCTCACGGACTTCTCCTTTTATTTCACCCGTGTCACCTAACATAAACATAATATTATTTTGATTAGCCATTCATAATTAGTCAAATCGACATCCCATGGCCAAGAGATGAGTGTCTTTACCTGCAAACAAGGCAAGAAACCCTTGTGTTCTGCTGTTGATGACATCAATTTCATGCAGGGTAACAGTGTGTACAACTTCTTTTCTCTTCTGAAGCTCACCTTCTGGACACTGTACAAACTTGGTCTAAAGGAAGATAAATGTAAGTCCATTTGATTCATTAAAGAGGTCATCTGAGCCACTTGAAAGTCTAACCATTTATATACGTAATCACAGAGACAGCACTTTTTCCTCGGTTATTTTAAGACCCTGAGTGTCTGCACAACTGGGACTCAAACTACAAACTCCCACACAAAAGTCCAATGTTCAACCAACTGAGCCAAAAGCCTGGGCCCAGTTGTACAAAGGGTGGATAGCACTATCTGACAGATAAATATTATCCAGGGTGAATAAATTTTATTGGATATTATCTTATTCACTGGATAACGATTTATACATCAGTAAGCACTATCTGACCTTCATACAACCTGGCCCAGGTGGTTAAAATTGAAAATACAAAAAAAAAATTGAAGATATCATAATAATAACAAATCAGTAACTATCATAATATTCTTTACCTCAGCTCCCATGGCATCATAATCTCTTGCTCTAGTAAAAGATCTTCCCAGTTTACAAACTTTACCAGTAGCCTTGTCTATAGTAATAATATCACTGGGGAAAAAAAAAAAAAAAGAAAAACAGCATTTTAATTTGTTTTACAGAATTTTGCAACCTCTATGTCCTAATACATGAAAGCTTATGTTTATTAGGACATGGTGGTTGCAAAATTCTGCATTTGAGATTTTGCCTCCAGGTCAATGCTGCATGATAGGACATTTGATTGATTTGTTTTGATTGGTTACCATGTTCCAGAGAGAAAGAGTGCGATTTCATAAAACATGTTCCAGAGAGAAAGAGTGTGATTTCATATATGCATACCGTGTTTCAGAAAAAGAGTCGAGGTTTTATATTCCCTATTCCAGAATAGAATCACTGAAAACCATACCCTCTTTGGTGGTACGTACCCACATGGCAAATATAGGGGAGTAACCCCCCTTGGTAAAATAGCAAAGCAGTATGGGCTACGAGAAAGCAGAGATAAGCCCCATGCCCTCTACCCCCAAAAGTTTCTTCTCTACCCCCTCCCCTCCCCCCATTTTTTTCTCCTATAAAGGCAATAATTTGCAAAAGGTGTATGGTGTACTCACCCTGCTTGTACTTTCTCTTTTGTAAGGGACTCAATCATTTTTGTTCCAAGGTCATAAATGGTTTCCATTTCAGTTGTCTTTAACGTCAACTTCCCAACTTTAGCTCCCTAGATTATTTCAATTGTTTCATTAAGATTTCACTAGTCAGACGGTCATTTTATTGCGGCATTATTGCATTCGTTGTATAACTTTCCCCTACAAGTTATGCATTCAATATAAGCAATTTAATGCATATTATGATTGTATTGGTATTATTTAATTATTATCATACAGAATAACTTTCTTTTCGTAAAAATACACAGGTGATTACTGAAAACCTCGCGCGCTGATTGGTTGAAACTCACACTATCACACGATAATCACCTCCAGTGATAATCCAAAATGGGGCCAGCCGCTTTGTTGCTGTTACTGGAGGGGAATATTAGAAATAATGAAAGAAAATGCTGTCCCCAAAAGGACTAAAGAGCCTAACCAATTTGCACTAACTTTGTTCAAAGGTAAAAAAGGACTTAAAACAATCAAATAAGCTCAAACAAGCTGTTTTGATTCGCAAAGTCGGAGTTCGCCTGTGTTGTAATAATTGAAAGTTATGTTTGTCACTTCAATTAAAATTTTTCCTAATYTTAGATGTGTCTTTTATTTTCTTCTTTTTTCTTTTTTTGAAAGAATCACCTGTGTATTTATACTAAAACAATCATTTGCCTCAGCCTCAGTGAATATCGGAGAATATTTACCTCGCCACTTGAAGACTTGCGACTCGGTAAATATTTAACAATTATTCGCCAAAGGCGAAGTGAATATCAGGGAATATTTACCGAGACGCGAGTCTTTGAGCAGTGAGGTAAATATTCTCCATATTCACTTTGCCTGAGGCGAATAATTGTTTTAGCATATACCAACTTGTGTACAGAGTAACTTATTTTTATATACAATAATTCAATAAAAACAAACAAACAGAAACTAGTTTGCATGGCAAATTCACGCAAAACTTTTAGCAAAACTTTTAGCACAACTTTTAGGCCATACTTCATTGTCTGTTTAGTATTGATAGGAATGGCATTTACTTTCATTTTTTCAATTTGCTCATTGGAAATTGTAGCAAAACGATTGCCGGCAGATGCCATTTTGTTGCGACTCAATATTCCGAGATTCAGAGATGAATATCGTACAATATTTACCTCCAATTAACCAATGAGCGCGCGCATTCTTAGGAAGTACACAAGTTGGTATATGCTAATCCCCAATATTCACTTTGCCGGCGAATAATTGTTAATTAAAATCGAAGCATAATATATATTATGATTATACTTACAGTTCCTGAGGCTGGCCTGTCAATTTGAATCTCAACAACCTCTCCTTCAATAATCTCTGTTTCCTCCCTAAAACACATTCCATGGAACTTAATACTGACAGTACTGACACTGAAATACATGACAATGTATTCATGTAATTGATGGATGAAGATAGCTGGCAGTAGTTTACTTGTCTATTGCCTCTGGAATCTCAAATTCAATTCTTAGTTTCAGCAACACTTTTACATGGTACTGGATCAATTTTTAAAGTTCAAAAAGTTGTATGTTTAGGCATTTCCATCACATGTAACTGTGCTATCTGGGGAAAAATTAATACACCTAGCCATGCAAATTTGGGTTGGAAAAAATTGRAAAAAAAATATCGATTTTGGATTTTTTTTGCTTACTTGGGTAAACAATTGACTGGACTGTGTCAACAACTTGTCCAAAAAACTTTTTAGTACGGCAAGACATATGCAGTATACTTTGCGCATGATCAAATGGAAAATCACTAACATTAACATTATTATTGATTCGTATTGGGCAGACACCAGACAAGGTCCCAAGGTTCTCTGATTAACAGATTTAGCACTCTATTGTTATTAAAACTTACTTAATTCTCACTCCAATTGACTTTCTGAAAGCCTGTGTAAGAGCTTCAGTTTTACTCATCTCAAGAGAGAAAATCTCACTACCAGCGATAGATGTGAAGGGTGTGTCAGGACCAAGAGACTGTGCCATTCCTAACACAGAACACAAACATGGTAAAACAAATGGATACAACAATGTTGAAACTCAGTTGAAATAATTATTTTTGCATTGTTTTGGTTATCAAAACTGCTACTTTTCAGTATTAGATTAATGGTCTATCACATCCAGCTGTTCTGAAATAGTGACGTAAAAACGATGTCACTGCAAAACTGAGGTCCCATAAAAGCCTTCAAAAATTATTGACCAGTGAAAATTAAAAACATGCCTGCCATTGCAATGAAAATAAAAAATTCTTGAACTATTGTGTCACTAAGCTCATTAGAAAATGTTATTTTATCATTTGTTGGCCTTAAAATCCATAATTTCAAGAGGAAAAGTGCCACCTCAGTTTTGCAAAACATTTTCATTTCTGATTGACTAACATTGTTTCTCAGATAAGTTGGTTAGTCTCAATCCACAATATTTTCAAGGATTAAATTATAGACTTTTACAAGTGGAAGTAAAAATGAGTTTATATAAATGACCATCAAGAGGGAGTATGTGTTGCATAGTCCCCGGTTTCCCCATTGTTGTTAAGCACTTATTCATCGCAATAGCTGTTATTAAATTGACTATCAAGAGGGTGTAAGTGTTGCATATTAATCCCTGATATTGCCCATTGTTTTTATGCACTTATCCATCTCAATAGCTGTTATTAACTTGACCATCAAGAGGGTGTATTTGTTGCATAATCCCTGATATTGCCCATTTCTATGCACTTACCCACTGCAATAGCTGTTTTTATATTGACCATCAAGAGGGTGTAAGTGTTGCATAAATAGAAATTATCACATATTATGGGCGTGATACCATTTTCAATCATGAGTTTCCATATATCGCGAACAAGCGAGTCTGAGAGCGATTGAGCAATATCATATGGAAACGAGTGAACAAAAATAATATCAGGCTCTTAACATGTGATATTTTGTTTATTTCACATTTAGGGTTGATAAAATGACAAAATTTACAGTTTGGTATCACTTCACTGATATGGTTTTTATTCACAGCTTTATCACACGGGTATCAACCCTAAATGTGTAATAATCCCTGTTATTGCCCATTTTTGTTATACACTTACCCATTGCAATAGCTGTTTTTCCTGTTCCTGGCTGACCTGCAATAAGGACAGCTCTGCCAGCAATCTTACCATCCTAAAACAACAGCATTAAAAATCAATATACTGAATTTGATTGATTATTGAGAAACAGACCCTTTTGAAAATTATCTTGGATCCTAGGCTAAAATTAGGCTTGATTTCCAGCTGTTGTGGTTTTGGTTAGACTTTCGCAAAGTCTGCTGCCCGTTTTGTTTTTTTTACTGGGCGCACGACGGACTTTTCGACCTTGCTTCCCGCCAAATTTACCGACCTAAAAATCAGTCGGTAAATTATAGCCAATCACAATGCTTGAAATCCAAGCTGTCAATCACAATGTAAGATTAGTAAGATTATCTCTACGATTCCCATCGGCATCTGTCAACACAACATCTGTCTGACAACATGAGATCAATATCTGAGGCCATATCATAGGGTAAAAGTAAATTAGGATACGAAACTATAAGAGAATACCAGAAACAAAGTATAGAAGCGTATCTTTCAGGCAGAGATATTTTTATATCTGCACCTACAGGAGCGGGAAAAAGCCTGACATTTGAGATCACTCCATTCGCCTTAGATTTTATGAGGTTTGGTGAGAAAAACTTAATTGAGACTGTTGTTGTTGTTGTTGTCCCTTTGGTCTCTTTAATGAAAGACCAAGTAACGTCTTTAAAATCAAAGGGGATCTCTGCTTCCTATGTTGGAGACGACTAAACAATTTCCGTCTATAGTCATTGTTCAGAACTTGACTGGCACAAAGAAAGCATATTTTTTCTTTGGACGCAGGAGATATCGCTATCCTTTCAACAGTTTTAGTTGGAGTTATAGCATCAACCATTATTATTGATAAAACATGTTTTGCTGCTCCGGATATAACATGAAGAAACAAAGAAATGAAAACCACAATTCTTTAGCTCCGCCCCCGAAAGCYGATCCTCCTGTATCAAATTTGGAAATGGCGGGAAAGGCAAATGAATATCCTGCAAGTTCGACAAGTCGACCTCTCGCGACTTCGTCACTCGCTCGCTGCGCTCGCAAGATTCTCGCTTCGCTCAAATTAAAAAAATGCCGAGAAAACAAGAGAGGTCGACTTGGGGCAAGTCTAGGTTTTGGTATGCCTGCAATCTTCTCTCAACTCACATATTTTCCAGGGATAACCATTCATGTAGGTGTAGGTAGCTCAATTAACCAAATTTCCGTACATGAAACAATGTCTTTACAATCAATTATTTTTTACTTGAAGTTTTATATTAATTATTTTATTATTTTGTTTTCAAACCTCACAGCACTGACATAATATCTTAATTTACTTATCAAGGAGTTATTCGAAAACTTTTAAATGATTTTTGTTTTCTGAAGAGCTTTTCAAGTGCCCTGGAATAGACCCCTTTACCTTCGTATGCAAATTGCCCATTTCAGACTATGTGACATTCCCCTGAGAATTGTTCTTTTATGACTACATGTTAACAAGTTAAAATATTTACATATGAAAGAATCAACTCCCAAGAGTGGCATCACATGGTCTGAAATGTGCACAACAAACAACGAAGGTAAAGATGTCTACTTGTATCATAAATTGAAGGGGCTGTTCAAGGACTTCAAGGACCTGCACCAACCCTGTAAAATATACAAAATTACACTGTGGCAAATAATACCTTAATCATTTCTAGGATTATCCCTGCTGCACGTCGAGCAGTAACCTGTCCTACCATACCCTGTGACACCTAGTTTGAAGGAATGATAAGAATAGTTTACCATAGAACAGATTGGAATGATTATTTACTTCTATATATAAAGTGAGCAATATAATAAGAATTATGTTTCTATTATTTGTACCTGTCTTGCTTCCAAAGCATCATCCAATCCAAGTCCACGTATGTGTGAATGTGCACCTAGGAAATGTATTTTATGACAATTGAAACATGACATACATGTATCGGTAATTTTATATTCTTTGTGATTTACTTGAAAAATTTCTGACTTTCAAATGCACCTTACTTAAAAATGTCTTGAATGGGAGGCTAACATGGAAATACAAAAGAAATGCCACACATTCCATCGAGAAAAACAGTGATTTCTTTTGTTGTTGTTGTTGTTTTGTTTTTTGTTTTGTTTGTTTTCTTGTTTTGTATTTTTGTATTTTTTTTTTTTTTAGTCTACTTCGTAATAATTATTTTAGGGTGAAAGTTTATTAAATAAAATAAATAAATTAATATTAGCCTTGCATCCACGATACTTTTGAGAAGGGTCCATTGGACTTGGCCTACTGCCTTGTCCAATTTTGGCAGTCCTGGATGGAGACCTATTGCACATAAATTTACCTATTCTTTCAATTCTTGTGATATCCCTGACTTCCTGGACTTTCTGAGCTGCTGCCTGGAATTCAATAACAATGGTAAATCAAAGCCATGAAATTGCATTTACCTTACAAAAATATGTAACTTGATGTAATGTTTTTTTTAATGTAAAAGTAAATTGCAGAGCAAGAAATACCCAATTAGGAGTTTCGTGGCATAATCCTTGTAAAATCTACCTCATAGTGCTAGGGTGGCTCCTTCAATACTTTTTAAATCAACATCACACTTTCAGTTACTGTTATTTTCAATCCTTATGCAAACTTAGTAGTTGCAATTTGGCGGATGGAGTTTGGTTTTTCACTGCTGCCAGTCAAAAATATGAAAGGGGAACAATCTTAGAAATACTTGCAAATGATATGCAGCTGTTGGAACTCTTTGTAGAAGGACGCATACAACAATAGAAGTCATGATCATTAAGTATGTGCATATGATTTGCAGGGTATTCTAAAGGTGTAACATGAAAGGTGCCGACTATGATTATTTCTGATTGACAGAAGCAAAAAACCAAATTTCAGCATGAAGTTTGCAACTACTGAGTTTACATAATGAAAACTGCAGTGTAAAACTAAAGCAAGTTTTCAAAGTCATTTTACAGTAGTTCTATGTACAATTTTACAAACATAAAACAACAAGTTTCTTAAATATACATTATCAAAACACCTTTAGAAAGAATACTAAAACAAGATACAGTAAGAATATGTTTCTTCGTACTCAAGGTCCTTTCTATACTCTCATAAGCTATCCTTATAAATCTGCTATGAAAGTTTTGAGCAAAGGAACACTCAATATTTAGGAATCCGTTCGTTTCTATGCCAACTTATAAAACAAGAAGTATCTTGCAAAGCAAACCAATTTCTAGCTTTGCAATGACAGAAAATTTAATTCAACGTCTCCTAAATGAAAAATATTGCTTGGATTTATTAAAATCTCATAAAATCAAGAACCTTTTAAAATAAAATCTAGGAAAGTCAAAGAGCGGGAAGATGASCAAATCGAAGCCCAATTTGTACAGAAATTATAACTTTTTCAACTTTTAAAGGCATTAAATTTGTGAATATGGTTAGCTGAGGTTGAATTAGAAAGATTGAGAATTAGCTGACGCTAGATTATAGTGGATATTAGGTTGAAGAGAGTAAAAAAATGCTTAAAATATCAAATGCACATGGACTTACCGCCGCCATTTTGCTTCGTTCTTCACATAAACTAGTCTCTCTCGCTCTCTCGATGACAAAGGAAGCCCAAATTTTACCTTGTGTTGTTTAACATTCCACAGGAGGCCCAAGTTATGCATCAGCTCTGCTCTCAGACGAAACCGTTGAGCTCTGGATACGAGAATAGACTAACTCTCGAGAACATTTTATGGCCTCTACAATATATTAACTTGAATTTTAGCCCTGGCCCAAGGGGAGGGGGAGGGAAGGAGAGGAAAGGGGAGAAAAAAGGAAGGGAGGGCCGTTATCCTCTCGCCCTCTCCTCTTCAACAACAACAACAATAATTTATTTGGCACTGTATACTAGAAGCACATAAGTGTTTTCCTTCCCAAAATATTAATAAAATATATTATCTCAATTTCTAAAGTAGCAAAATACATTGATGTATTTTAGAAAGAGATATTTTAATCGTAATTCAAACTTTCTAGCTCTTTTGTCTATGGCAACATTGCCTTTCTATCTTCTTGGCATATGTATCAGTTTGCCTACATTTTTTTTAGAATTTTTTATTCGGGTTGATAAGAAAATAGAATTTATCATTTTCACTTAATTGAAATTGCTTGTTTGTAATTGTGTTAATTTTTTGTTGTAGTTCGATCTTTTCGTGTGTTTAAGTAGGAGGGACATTTCAAAAGAAAGTGTTTTTAGTTCTTCAACTTCTCACATACAGGACATGTTCTTTCGGCTTCAGGTTTGACATAAGGTCGTAAACCCGGGGGGGACTCCGGGAAAAAAGTACCGGGGATGCTCGTCGGAAATTTTCAAAAAGGCCCCTAAAAGATACCAGAAGTCTTTAAAAGAGAGCGTGGCTGACTGATTTTTAACCCCTAAGAGATAAAACAACAAATAATATTAAATTAAAAGCGCCTAGGAAAAGCCATACCGATGCACGCTTCTCTCCTTTTCCGACACCCTAAGAGATACCAGAAAATACTGATTTTCAAAAATTCGCATTTAACACCCTAAAAGATACCAAATCGCGAATTTTTACCCCTAAGAGATACGACGAGCATCCCCGGTACTTTTTTCCCGGAGTCCCCCCCGGGGTCGTAAATGTCTCCCCCTTTAATTTCGATTCCTAAGTAATGATTACTGATTCTGAGTTTTGTCAGTGCTGTTCTTTGTTTGATATTGTTGACCTCTTTAATCAAGGTAAGCTTCTAAATTGTCGGAAAGTTACGTTTAAAAGGTTCTGCATGTTCTGAGTTTGTTTTTCTAAAAGTCTTTCCTATTCTCATCATCATTAATGCCTCCAATTATTTGTGTCTTCATTATTAATGTCTTCTCCCCCCCCCCCCCCCCCATGTGACAATGCTCTTTTATGAGATTTTCAGCGCTGTCATGTGCACCGCAGAGTTTGCCAATCGACCACTGGACCTCCGCCACTGTAGATCAGATCCTTGCCTTGTATTACTATGATAACTATAAGACTTTATTTATAGGATAATAATAATAGTTTTTTTTTTTTTTTTCATTATCAGTTTATTTGATTGTACTTGTATTTCTTTAGAATTATCTTATTGTAAATTGGCCTGAAAAGCCCTTTTGGAAGTCCAATAAAGTGTATGTATGTATGTATCTACTTTATGTAGATGCTTTTGGAAGTAGATCCATCCCTGCAGATACGGCTGAGTCTTTAAGGCTTTTTTTTTTTGTCTGTCTGCGTTTTGCTGTCTGATCACGGTCAGTGTTAGTCAGTTAACAAAGCTAATGTAATATATATACTAGGGGCAGGGCTCCAACCTTGTTGCAACAAATTGGTGGCAACATGCAAATTGGTGGAATTTACACACATTAATTCTTAATTAGTATTTATTTATTTAAAGAAAAAATATTTTTCCAATAAAACGTAAATCGTAATACTGTTCTCTGTGTTGCGGAGGCTCAAACAAAATGGCGGAATTTTGAAATTCCCACCCCCCACTCATTTCTCCACCTTGGGAAAATCCTGGCTACTCCCCTGGGCATGTACGCATAAACCCTTGACTTATATAGGCTTAGTCTGATCATGGTCAAAAACAACTTGGTGTCCGTTTAATTAATATTGTACATTCACAAATTGAACCAAAATTCTGATAGTTTAATTGCAAGATAAACGCCAACGGCAAATAAGACAACTTAATTCTACACTGAGTGCATAGAGCTATAGACTCAGGGAAGAGGGGTTGACTTGGCTACGAGCAACACTAGCAGGTCACAGATAATTTGGTAAGAAAAGATGAACCAGAAGGAATATTCACCATTAATAGAGTCGTCAGAAACCGGCTCCAAAGACTGCCTCCAAGCAGACAAGTATCAACTATACAAGAGGCGATGGTATATTCTCTCTGTGTATACAGCAATCGTTTTGATTTGCAACTTGACTTTAAATACGTGGGCACCTATATCTGAACCTTGTAAGATTATTTTTGGATGGGAAAACTGGCAGGTTATCTTTATAGTTAATTGGACTCCACTGTGTATGCTCGTAAGTGCTGGACCGTCTATATGGATGATGGATAAAAAAGGTGAGACTGTGATCGTTGCCTTCACACATGAATCAATTTGGTATATTTTAAAGTAATATGTCAAATATATAAACGAGTGTTTCATCCGATATTTTCAAACACCTCTATCCAAACTTCGAGGCGTTTGGATAGAGGATGAAAAGCTCTTTCCAGTTCTTGATATGGCTTCTACAAACTTTAATTAACTCTGCAGAAGTGATAGTCATTGTTGCACAGTAAATCATTTTATGCTAATTAGATCACCTTTTCAACTAATCTCCCGAAGGCTAGTGATTTTTTTTTTGCTTTGTTCTCAATTAATGAGGTTAAAAAGATATGTGTCCCTTACACATGATATTGAAGTTAGGCTAGCTCAGTAACACTTTAATTTTTACTTACTAGTCATGTAAAATTGAAAGGATAGTTTTCAAGAAGCGTGTCGTAGTGACATAGTTAACTCATGCGTAGTGACGAATTTTTTTCATTATATAATGTGAACATATTCCTTTTTCAATTCGTTAACATCAATTAAGCATATCACTTATGATTTTTAAAGCAATCTCTATCTGATACATACAGTAAACATTTATGAACTAGCTCTATGCTTGTGTCCATTTTCTATATAAAATGGGTACAAATACAAATACAAATCCAAGGCAGAGCATGGTTGGACTCTTGATCATAGAATGAAGAAATAAGATACTCATGCATCGATGACGCTTTTCAGTGGCAAGACACAATGACATTCATAAAAATATGCAGAATATGGGTATCAGAACTGATCGGGGGCACGAAATATTCCTTCGCTTTAATTTAATCTAAGGTCAATATGCTTTACATATGAGCTCAGTCTAAATATAGAGGAAATGTATGCTAACTGAAAATAAAAGGGTGTTTCGAAGGCAGCCCTCGAAACTGAAAGACCTCAGACCACTCTTTCTTGCAGGCAGTGCAAGGCAGCTGAGGCATGAAGGCAATAAAACAATAGCCAAGGTCGGCGGAAGACGTCCAAAACTAGTTATAAACTTCTGCAAAGGGCAATGAAATTTGAGCAATAAACGATATCCTCAGTGCAAAATGGTAGTATCCTGGTGTACAGGAATTGTCAGGGGATTCTAGTCAAATTCAAAATTCCGATATGCAAGTTCATTCGGCTAGTAGTCGTGCCCTATATATTTTATAACTAAAGCTTTTAATGCATAAACCAATGAAGCATCGTCTTAAATATGACAACGGCTAAGCAAGAGCAGCCAAGCAAATTCACTTCGAGGTTGAGTGGTTAGGTTTAGGGTTAGGGTTGGGATAGGCAATGTAATATCATTTGATGCCAAGGGTGCCAGGGTCGAATCTTGTCGATACCATCGAATTTATTTCTTATTTATTTTTAATAAGGAGAACTACGTTTAGCTCGTTTACGAAGTTTAGCACGTCGTAGTTAGTTTAGCACTGAAGATGGTCGTCACCAGCGTCTTCAATTGATCTTTTACGTCCGCCTTATACAGGGTCAGACGGGGCCTACGGTTTTAAGTCTTGAGAAGACTTGAAGGTCTAACCATTTGCAGATATAATTACAAAGGTAGCACCTTCTCCTCAGTTATTTTAAGACCCTGACCCTGACCCACGACCTCCCGCACAACAGACCGACGCTCTTGCCAACTGAGCTAACCGGGTTGCGGTGGTTTAGCATGGATTTGAATTGTACATGTGAAAAAAAATGATGCATAAAAGGGAATATTGGAAAAGTTTAGCAAGTTCATGAGTTTCTCAAACAAGAAAATGACAATATTCACAAACGTTTGACACATTTATTTTAAAAGCCGACCATACATTTATTGAGTTTGAGATAACGTCCCAATAGGTATAGAACACGAGACAAAAGGAGTAAGCGGCTGTAAACACCCTTGCATGACTCAAACCCCGTTCAAATGATAACTTATTTATTTCGTTGTTCCTCGTGCCAGGTCTGAGAGCTTCAGTCATATTATGCACTTTCCTACTGACTGCTGGCAAAGTATTCCAAGTTATTCCATCCAGTGATCCACTAACAAGAACCATCCTGTTAAACATTGGTCAATGCATCTCTATGTTGAGCACTCCTGTCGGACTAGGAGCACCTCCATCGATCTCCGCTACGTGGTTCCCTCCAAAGGAGCGCACAACTGCGACAGCTATCTCGACGCTGTTCGCCTACTTAGGGGTAGCTTGTGCGTTTGTTGTTGGTCCCTATCTTGTACCTATTACTAAAAGAGTACACATCGGCAGTGTCGATGTTGCTTTCACTAACCACACGGTATATGACATAGAAACAATGACCACGAACCTATCTGAGTACATGGGCATTCAGTTAGGTATAAGTGCACTTTTATTGGTCTGTGTGTTGGTGTATTTTCCCGACAAGCCACCTTTGCCTCCCTGTGCGACATCAAGCGACAGGGTACACGAATCTAAACAAGAATTCAAGACTTTGATATCTGATTACCGTTTTCTTTATCTGGGGTTTCTTTTTGGCATTAGTTTTGGGATCTACTTTGGGTGGCTTGGGTTGTTAGCTTTAGCTGTTCGACCATTCGGGATTAGCGAGTCTTTGGCTGCTTGGATTGGAACTGCTTCTGTGGTGGCTGGGATCTTCTCTGGTATCATTATTGCCAGGTGAGTCGACGATTGACATGATGGATGGGATAGTATAGATAGATGGATGGATGGATGG